GTTTGCACAGTTTTCTCGTGAGCTTCAGTCTTTGAACCATTCGACAATGCCAAATGTAACGCAGTAGCTCCAGCTGAGTCAGTCTCCTATGAAATCCGTAATCAAGCACTTCAATTGGGAAGAGCAATCTAATTCATTTCTATTTTCAGTTTTTACTCCCATTTCATATATTCTTGCTCAAAAATCTGCATACGGCATGCTGCAAGCAGGCAGTAGTCAAACTAAAGCGAACTTATGCACTTTTTCGAGGAAACAAGGCTAGGTGAGGTACTCAAATCAGGGCCAGTGACATGAGTTAAACTCATTTAAATTTAAATGGATCAATTGCTGGTGATTAAGACTGACCGAGATCTTAGCGCCATGATTCAACAACAGTTCAACAATCTCAAAGTGGTCCATGAATGCTGCTGCCATCAGTGCAGTCCGAGATTCGGAGTCCTTACGATCAACACTGGCTGAGGCTTTCAGTAATCGCTCGACGATGTCGCGGTGACCAGCCCTAAATCAAGAAAACTGAAGAACATAAATAAATGATGTAGCTCTTAAAGGGAAATTTCAGATCCAAACTTGTCAGAGTCAATTATTTTCACATTTGAATATATTAAAAAATGTCTGAAGCTCACCACGCAGCTCCACGAAGGGCAGTTCTTTCTCCACTACCGACTTCATCCACATTCACACCATTACCTAAAAGTATTTGACTTTAGTTTTTAAGCTCTATTACTGTTGACTTTTACAAATAAGTCACTGTACTAAGTTTCAAATTACCTATTCAAAAAAATTCCAGTCAAAAAAAGTTTGATGCTTACATAGTATGTCTTTTTTGTATTTGAATAAAGATGAACGCAAATTAATTTTAGCAAAAAATAAAATTTATTTTTTGAGAGAACTTTATCATGTTCCAAAGACTAAGCTAATACCACGGAAGAAATCGGAAACAACAACCGTATTGCCACCAATTGAAGCTACAATTTTGAATGTTTCCAATGTTTTTATAAATTAATCTTGTTTGTGTGCAACTCTCCTTTTTTTCGAGGTTACATTTGAATGGAGCAAAAATTAAAAACTGATTTCAGAAAAAACATTATCTCTTCTTGTCATTCTGAAAAAAAA